TTCTTTCTTTCTTTCTTTCTTTCTTTCTTTCTTTAACCTTAACTGCTGAGAAAGGCAAATGCTTAGCAGATAAAGGACCATCCATTGTCTGGACTGTCTGCTGCAGCTTTCTTTGTCTGGGAACTGTAAGAGAAAGGCAGAGGCTCTTTTTTTTTTTTTTTAATTCTTTTTCTGCATCTAAAAAAAATAATAATAATCAATTTTGCATTTAGCAGTGAAAAATAAAACCCCGTGCTGCTGGAGCGCACAGCCCGATCTCCATTGGCCTCTCCTCCCCTCTCCCCCTTCCCCTCGCAGTCCCCCTCCATTAGGTATCACTCGGGTAACATTTGCAGCCCGGCCCATCACTCATTCCTGACTCCATTCCAAGGTTCCCCCTCCACCCGACTCCTTCTCTCCCCCTCCCTCGCAGCTCTCAGCTCTGCTCTACTTGTCTAACAAATCATTGCTGTAGGACAAGCGACCGGAGACTGCACACACAACCCGACAGACTGCCAGGGGAGGGAGAGCTTTGTGTTTTGGTTCTTTTCTTTGTAAAAGCATTCCCTCTCCGGGACGCCCTCCTCTGTGCTCCCCCAGCCCTCTCCTTCCCCCCTCCTCCGCCCCCAGCCTCAAGCTGACCGCGCTGCTTGGCGGTGTCGGGGTGACATCACAGCAAACGCTGCCTTTCCCAGCGTGTGGCAGCACGGAGGGATCCCTTCAGCGCACAGCAGCCTCACCCAGCCTCGTAAAAGCAGCTTTTGTGCCTTCTGCCCGAGGGCAGCTCTTGTGCCTCCCTCAAACCAAGGCTACACAGGTCAGGGCAGGCAGGGAAACGCTCAGGAAAATGATGCCCAGCAAAACGCCCTCTGGAAACCGGTGGCATCCCCACGTTCAGAAGGCTTTATTTGTTATTGTTCCAGCAGACATTGGAACCAATCAATTAAAATTCTTTCTAAGATTTTGTAGTCGGAATCCTCGGAGATGCTCCCTGGCTCCGTGGCTAGAGCTGTGGAAGACCGAGGCTTAAGTCCCACACCTAATTAATCGGGATGAATGGGGTTCACTCTCTCCTGCTGATGGGTCTTCATTGACAATAAATTGCAGCATGCTTTTTTTCCATTCAGAAAGGCTACATTTCTAGCAGACGTGCTACTTGACCTCATTTCTCATCTCCCGTGGCACCTCCTTGGTTGCACACCGTACACTCACAGTCAATCCTGCTGAGCTGTTTGGGCTCTCTGCACCTTGTGCACCTCTGATGAAAATTCCTCCACGATTCAAGGTTTCTATTGGAACCTTGGAATTCTTGCTTGTCTACGTGTTGTCTCATGCTGAAAGTTAAGGCACTCCATTGTGCCACCTGTATCTTTTTACAGCTCTTTGCCAAACAAAAAGCATTCCCAGCTTTGCTCCACTGACAACTCCCAAAGTCACAGACTGGTTTGGGTTGGAAGGGACCTTTAAGATCAGCCAGTTCCAAACCCCTGCTACAGGCAGGGACATCTCCCATTAGACCAGCTTGCTCACAGCCCCATCCAGCCAGGCCTTGAATGCTTTCAGGGAGGGGGCATCCACAACCACACTGGACAATCTGTTTCAGTGAAAAGACATGGATGAAACAATTTCAAACATCCCTTCTTTACACAGAACTCATCCCAAATACAGAACCGTTGGGAATTTCTCACATCTTCACATTTCCCCAGCTGTGGCCCACTGAAGGGTTAAAGCAAGGGCACATTTGTAGATGAGGACACTGCAGGTGTGAGTAAGGGGACAGTAATGAAAGCAGGAGCAAGGGATGGTGCAAGGACAACAATTGCAAGTGCGGAGTTCTGTGACTGAAGATAAAACCATGACCAAGTTCTGTGGCTTGATGCTGTCCTGCAGCCAAAGCAGGCAGCTCTCACAGAGCCGAGGGGAGCTGTGCCTCCAACAGCTGCCATCCACAGTGAGCAGATCTCTGGCTCCATTGGGTCCCACTGACCAACTGCAGGTCGTGCGCCCAACCCAAGCCTGCAGGTAAGAACAGACCTGAATGTCGGGGCTGTGATGGAACAGCACGTCTGAAGTTTTCAGCCAAAGGCCAGAAAATAAAAAAGTTTGATGTTTGGCTCAGTTTTCACAGAGCTAAGGAAACAAAGGTAAATATTAACAGTGATTACAGGCAGGTAGACAGAAATGCCAACGGGAAAGGAAAAAAAAGTCCCAGCCATGGCTCAGGCCAAGTTCTTTCTTTGATGCCTGGCTCCAGTAATACAAGAAGCACCACGGGAGCAATGTCATTCTGCACACACAGCAGCGACCACCTCTGAGCTTACAGCAAGCCACGAAAGAGGCAGGGAAGTGCAAGAGCTGATGCTACAGCAACACCCCGACTTTGTGTCTTAAGGCCACAGGTAGTCACCTGCAGGCTGAACCCCTTGGAATCAGGGAATACTTCCACCATCCTGCTCCACAGGAGGGTACCCCGCTTCCCCATAGAGAGCTCTGTTGGAGGGAGGCAGTGTGCAAACACAGCTATGGGGGTGAAGTCACAGCAGTCTGGAGAGCAGCTCTCCTTCCAAAAACCTTTCTTTTTTTCCCTCAGATGAGCGTTAAGTGGAGCAGTGCACTCCCAACTCAGCAGCCGTTCATTGCTGCCAACTGGGAGTGAATCTCAGTGACTTTGAAAAGAGGAATGGCAAAGGACTTTCAGTGAAATTAAAAATGTAAATGTATTTCTGATGTTG